CAGGGTGCAGGAGCACAGTCTGAACTCAGGGCGCGCCGTGGAGTTCCTCTGTGACAAAGGCTACAGGCTGGTGGGAGACTCCCTGGTGGTGTGTCTGGGGGGCAACACCTGGAGCTCCACCTTCCCCACCTGCCAACGTGAGACACACACTGAGAGACATGCATGCAAAACGACTGATTTGATTTAATGAATGTATTACTACACCCCCCTCTGGTTTCCTGTTGTGGTTGACATCACTGTTGCATCAGCTACCTTACACAAACTGTGAACTTAGCAAACGTTTGCAACACTTACATCACACCGTGTGAGCTAACATTGAGTTTCCCTGTGTGTTTCACAACATAGCCTGTGACAAAATGGTCAATCAGAGATATTTCTAGACGCTCTAGACATCAGGAAATGTGTGAAGATGTAACATTCAAATGCACCCGAGAAGTACATTCTTAAATAATGTTGTGTTTAATCCAAATGATGTTGCATTTCAATATGTCTTAGGTCCATTATGTACATCTCATCTGTCTTTGTTAAGCTTGTAAGGTGCGACTCCTCTGTGGAATTCTGCAGTGTCTGGGGTGTTGTCTCACCGGATTAGATTACACTTGAGGAGTTTGCGTGTCAATTGGGTAAACATTCATTCATTAATAATGTTCTCTCTGTTCATTCCAGCCAAGTCCTGCCCGGCTCCTCCAGGCTGGGGGGGGGACAGCAGGGACGGGCCCCCGCAGGAGTTTCATGTGGGACAGTCGGTGCGCGTCCCCTGTCCCAAAGGTCAGCAGGTCAGAGGCAGCGGGACCGTCTCCTGCAGGCCGGACCAGACCTGGAGCCTCGTCAGCGCCGTGTGTGAGAGTACGTATCTCATCTGAAGGGGAACAATGTGCATATCCTCTTTGGGAAATATACTTTAGTTATTTAATTTCAAAAGCCTAAATGATATGATCACATAGTCCATCAATTAAAAGGTCTTGTTTATTGTGAAATAGAAATACTGACAGATATTAGATTGGTGAATATCCTTTGCTTATTTGAGTTTTTTTAGTTTTCTACATTTTATTCTGCTTTATTCATATTTAATATATTGTTTAAAGTAATTTTATCACTTGATTTGCTGTTAAATGTATGGCTTTGATAACTTTATTGAATATATATTATTACAGTTCATGTGTCACAACTCTTAATTTTGACAGATAATGCCAACAGTGTTTGTTCATCATGTGTTTATGTAAAAGTGAAAATGCTAAAGAACAATATGTTTAGCTTTTCCTTACTCATTCTGAAATGAAGTTCATGTGATTTAAATGTGTTCCATCAAATCAATGAAATGTCATAATGAGGACAACGATACGTAATCAAACTAGCGAACCAAGTAGAAGTTGTGTATTTGATATCTGCACACGTCTGCATGCTCCCCGTGTGTTGTGCCCATCGCTTCTCCACACCTGCCCGGCTGCCTGTTTAAGTGATCTCTGATTTCTGTCTCTCGCTGAGCTTTTATGAAAACAAACACTGCATCAAACACCGCGATGGTGTCCTTTACGCTGGGCTAATTACAGGCTCCTCTGCTCTGTGGCTGCTATGGCAACCTTTGTCCCATAATCCTCTGATTTTTCTTACGCCCTGAATATGCAACACAATGCTGCTTCTGTTGCTATGGCTCGTTGTTTGTGTTTGCATGCTGTTTATTCCCCTGTACGCATGCATCATGAAAGGTAGACCACGGACTGTGGAGCCGCACGACTGAAGTGTCGCACACATCTGGATACTTTGCATGAAATTCAATGTCTTCACAGGTGATGAGGGACGTAGGAAACACCGCTTGACTTCCTTCAATGGACACAGACTTCTTACTCTGCAGGACACCATTTCATAATAAGTGTTTTATAGATTTCAAATAGGTAGACAAAAAAGAACATTTTGGGAGGCCCTTTTATTTACACTTCTGAATGCTTTTCTTCAGGTGTTTCTTTTATTTTGTCCACTTCCTGTTTACTTAAAATGGCCTCTTCGCTCAAACTGAAGAGTGATACGCTAATCGACTCTTAAGGCCATTTAGTAAAAGAATCAGCTGTACATTGAGACAGAGAAGAGAAAGCGTGTAGTGAGTAACTCGTCCCATCTGGGCTGTTGTGCAGGGGTGTCCTGTGGCCCCCCCCTCCACGTGGCCCACGGGGTGGTGCGGGGGGCGGTGTTCCAGTTCGGGGACGTGGCGGTGTACTCGTGTTTTGGCGGCTACGCCATGGAGGGCGTCGGGAGGAGCAGGTGTCTGGAGAACGGCACCTGGACGCCGCCTCCAGCATGCAGAGGTAGAGAGAGAACACCCGGGACCCTTCCTGCTTCCTCTCACTGTCTCCTCCTGCCACACATCGCCGTGCTGCTTCCTACTTCTTAACCCTCCTATGGACTGCTCCTCTCGTCCCCAACTTATACGATTTCCTGAAGGATGTGCGCCTGCTCTCTCTGTCCCCTAATGGCTTCTTCTTACTCCACTTGCATGTGAACAGAATGCGAACTAGCAGGTTGCCTTTCCTCCTTCCAAGATAGAGGGATAGTTTGGAGGTGGGGTTGTATGAGGAGCTTCTGCGGTGGTAGATGGGGATCACGCCCCTCATTTGGAGAAACTGACATTAGATATTGCAACGAAGCAACTGCTGTGTACGGGGCTGGCAGCAGGATGTATTTTAACCACAACAAAAATCAATGTTAGTTTAAGTTTATGTTATTTAGAATAAGTACACTTTTTTTAAGTGGCACTGAAGCCGTTTTATAAGCTACCAGACTCTATTGACTATCTTTTAGGTGTCTACAAATATGTTTTGTTGTTGCCTCCATCCACATACCTAGCTTTGGTGCCGATTCTGCTGTCTACATCCATAAACTGGATATAGATGATGCCTCGTACAACCCCAAATTGAAACTTCCTTTTTAGGGTGGACAACGCAAACGTACATGTGACTGAGAGATTCATATATGATCGATGTCTGGATCCAGCCCAGTAAAGGGAGGGAAAACCTTGTCATGCCAAAAAGTAGCTTGTTACTGGCTCTCCTCTGCCTTAGAGTGAGGAACAAATAAACAGGAAAGTAACATAGACACATCTCTCAGATGGCAATAGGCCAGGTGACCAGAATCTAGTTCAGATGTAAAATGAGAAACAGATTAAGGCTTGAGGCAGATTGAGTAATCCCTGAAATATGTGGGGCAGCAGGTAGAGGGGAACTAGCTTCCTTCTTGAACAACTGTAAAGGAAGGAACATCACAGACTAATGACACACACACACACACACACACACACACACACACACACACACACACACACATAGGCAGGCACACAGACACACAGCACACACCAGGAAAGAAACTTGAGATTACAAGTGACATGAAATTCTAATGGCCTCTCGTATGTTTTACATATGAGAACAAGGGCTTGATCCACAGCTGCTGAGTTTCTCCACGTTCCTGTTTCCACATAAACACAGAAACACACACACATGTCAGGATGTTAGAGGAATCTAATCTGCACTTTGTGAATGCTGCTGTTGTTCTAATGCATGCGTGACGTTGTAGAAACTGTTTTTTCCTCTTATTTCACCAGAAAGGGACTGAAATTCTCTCTCTCCTTTGTATGTGGACACTTGAAGAAGATTGTCGACTGTACGTGAAGTATAAAAACATACAATGTGTGTGTGTTCCAGCGGTGTGTTGGTTGCAGTGCCAGAACGGAGGCGTGTGTCAGCGGCCAAACATCTGCTCCTGCCCCGAGGGCTGGATGGGCCGCCTCTGTGAGGACCGTGAGTGTTTAAAAGCCCTCAAACTGTGTGTTACAACTCAAACTAATTCTCGGCAAAACGGGAATCCGCCCATCTTGCTAAGCTGGTGCGTAAATGAGCTCAAATCAAAACAGTTAATTTTAAGGCCTTTAAACACACTGATCAATCTCACACAATCAAGCAACTAAGGAGGAATCCTGCGTGATCATTCTGTGAAATATCAAAAAAATATATAACTATTTGCTATTATTTTTTACTGATATGGCAATTGGGATATGACTGTCGAAACTAGAGTTAAAATTCTGCACGTTCCAGCTTTGCAAAAGTGAGAATGTTTTAGTTATAATTACAGTAAATTGAAAGGTTTGGAAAAACGTTTGAATATGTTTGTACGTTGAAACCAAAATGTAACAAGACAAAATAATTGAACAGTTCAGGATTTCCACAGAGGAGTCCGAATACCTTAAATGACTTCCTGTCTCCTCTCCAATGACAGCTATCTGCATCCTGCCATGTCTGAATGGCGGCCGCTGCGTGGCCCCCTACCAGTGTGACTGTCCCTCTGGGTGGGCGGGCACACGATGTCACAGCGGTGAGTCAGCAGTGTGTCACATGTTTAGGAGGATGTATGTGAGGGAACCTGCCCACATACTGGGAACGTAAGTACTACTTGTGCTGTGATTTATGAATATGTGTGTGTCCACAGCTGTGTGTTCATCGCCTTGTCTGAATGGCGGCAGGTGCATCCGGCCCAACAGATGTAACTGCAGTCCCGGGTGGAGCGGGCACGACTGCTCCAGGTGATTCACCAATAAGAAAGTTATTAAAAAGTGTAACAGTGTGTTAACCCGAGTGCCTTTAGCAACTGTCTTAATTCAGAATGTTTCACCAGATTAAAAACCATTTCTCCTTCTCTTTGCAGGAAAAGGAAATCAGGATACTATCACATGTGAATCGTCCAATGAAGGGAGTTCTTGTATAGTAAACTGACTCATTCATTCTCATCTCTCTGCAATGGCGAAGCAAGAACCATTTTGTAAAATAAAGCTGTATTTTTTCATATAGAGACTCAACAGTATTAAACATATGCTGCTATATACTTGTACGATGTGTAAAAACTATTGATGTGATTGTCCAATGTATATGTGTAAACTATTCTCACATTTTTATTAAAGCATAAAATACCATTTCATGTGATGTTGTTGTTCACGTCGTGATAATCAGAAAAGTACAAAGTTCCTGTAACTCATTTATTTATTAAATCCACATTAAACACAATTTACAAAGCCAATCTCATATCAAACAAGTTCAAAGTGACCATTTGTCAGCACACACTGAACTAACAGGAGGTCACTAATACACCATGAGGGGAATCAATTATTGTTTCTTGTGTGGCATAGAAGACCTAATGGTTATTTTACATTACATGGCAACATTGGCTACCGTGTTTTTTACACAATGAGGGTGTGTGTGTGTGGACTGCTCCCTGGAGGTCTATGTCCTCAAAGAGGCCAGTTTGCTTATCAGTTTTGCATCGTTGGCACCAGTGAGCTCATCCACCTTAAATGCAGCACAGACAGAATGATTAATGACAGCTTGAATTCAAATATAGATCACTAGGATATAATGTGTTTGCTTATGCTAACATTAAAACAAAAAAAAAGGAATGTCAATATTTGCTGTATCTTCTCATGCTCACCTTTTCTTCATTCTTGTAATAAAAGAATGTGGGCATGGCTTTGATGCCGCAACTTTCAGAAACATCCTGAAAAGGGCAAAACAAACATGCTGTAAGATGGATGGACTGTCACTGCTACGCCCGGGATGAAAACAACATGCAACCCATATGTGAAGCACCCGATAGTTAAGGTATCAGAAAACACTGCGTTTTTAATAGCGTCCAACCCACAGCAGGAGAAGGTTTTGTTATTGTAGTGAAACATTTTTAAAAAGCTGTTGACTGAGTAGCAGCATCTTTTTAAATGAATGAACTTACTGCAGCAACATCCACGTCTACCACCAAGAAAACCACATTGGAGTTTTCAGGAAGATCCGCCTGTGCCTGAAAGAGAGTCGACCAATGAGCATTAATAAACACAGAATACTGCTGCAATGTGATTGGCAGAGAAGAGGGAATTGATGCACAACATTCCTTGAAATCTTGATTCTACAAAGTTATGTGCAACCATAACAACATTTAAAAGAAACAGGCTGGCTCTTCCCCGTTTAAAGAATGTTGCCCGAGCGGCCCTCTGGGAGCATGCGTAACTCAGGGAGGGGCTTCCCTTAAAAACAAACATACTAAAAACATGTGTTTCACTAAAGCTGCCACTGTCTCAATACATCAGAACCATAAATCCACAGACAGCAAGTGACATTTTGTTGATTTAAAATCATTTCAGTGTTTAAAAGGATTACGGTTTGCGCCCATAATCTAGTGTCTTTTCTCTCCATTCAGTTAAATTCACTGTCTTTTTGTAACCATACTAAAATAATCAAACCATGGCTTGCACAAGATTTAAGAGCCAAAAATCATCCTCTTACCTTAAATACTGGGCCAATCTTTTTGCAGGGTCCACACCAACTGGCTGTGAAGTCCACCACCACCAGCTTGTCTCCAGCTTCCTTCAGAGCCTTATTGAACTGCTCCTACAGAAAATGAAAACATATTTGAAATATAGGATTAACAACTTAAAATGGAAAATAAAATAATTACCACCATGTTCTTTGAAAATTACTTTTTTATAACAATAATTCAAAAATGTTTGTAGTACAAAGGCTTGATCATTATTTAAATTTTAAGGTATGGGTCGAAATATATGCTTTTTGAATGTCGGTAAACTACACAAATAAAAAACTAGACAATGCATTTCCTGCTGAAACTGCGTGTGAATATGTTTGACAACTTTAAAGGTTACCATGGCGCTTCATACAAAATATATCTGACTTTGTGTGGCTTTTATTTAGAAAAATAAAGCTGATCCTGGGCTTCTTGTTTCTTCTTGTTCGGTGAATTTGTAGGACTTTTATTTTTGAAAGAAAACATCCATCTTCCTCCGCTTCCTATAAAGTAACTCTTTGGTGCTTTCATTTTGAATAGGTATTGTGGCAGGGAGAGAGAGAAAAAAATGAAATGTCTGATGTCCAAACATGGGAGATTATTCCCTAAAATAAAAAAATAGGGTCTGTATCAGTCGGTCTGTCTTCTCTAATTAGATGATGTCACTCAGGTGTGTGGCCCTAATCTGCCCAGGCTCAGAAACAGTCACCCGAGTTCCATTCAGAATGCATTGAGGTTCATCTGACAATTCTGCCTCCTGTTAAAAAACGACGGATCCTATTAAATACATCAGACCGTGAGCACCAGGGAGCCCCGATGAACCGATCTGTGTGCATTTTCTGTGTAAAAATGTGAAGATGACAGCAGTTTTTATAAAGTTTACTTCTTGCTAGCCTTAGGAAAAAAATAGAACACATTTAACATGGGCGTCTATTAGGAGCAGGGTGGACTTTGTGTCACTGATAACTAACTATTGGGCCAGAATGGTTGGTCAGTTTGATATGACGAAGGCATCGAGACACGGCTGACTGAAGAGTCTGTCCCATAGATACAACTTTAATAGTTTGAATGAAGTGCGTAGCTGAAGGTATGCGGAAGAAGGAGCAGCATCGTGCAGGTGAAAGAGGATTTGGAGTTTCCGGCAATTGAGTTACTTGTTAGGGAAAAAAAGTTTTAAAAAGCTGAATATTTTAAAACGTTTCGATGATTAAATAGTTTCCCCATCATGTGCGGAAATAGCTGAATAGCTAAATATTTGGATATTTGAATGGTTTCTGAAGCTGGAAGAATGCGGAAGTTATTAGAAGCCAAAAAGCGTGGAAAAACTTGAAGACTATACATAGTGGGAATGCTGCTGAATCAGCAGCTGTTTGACAAAGTTTAACAATAAAAGCTGCAAAACAAGACACCACTTACCAGATTGGTGATGTTGGTAACCCCCATGATAGCTGTGACTGTTCTTTGAGCAGATGATCCGAAGACTAAAGTTTGGGAACTCCTGGAAACTGTTCAAACCCAGCAGACTTAACCACGCCCACTTCCGCATCAACGTAGCTCTGCACGACTGTACTGTAGTTAAGTACGCTTTGGAGGGACTTGTACTTTACTTGAGTATTTCAATGTTTTGATACTTTGTACTTCTACTCCACCACAATTCAGAGGTAAATAGTGTACTTTTACTCTATCAATTTAATATCTTTAGTTACTATCTTATGATCAACACTTAACTAAGACTTTAGTGACACCTGGAGCATACAAAGTCATTAAAACTAGCACCTTTACCAGCTTTGACAACACTTTGATATATCAATAATTATTATCAAAACGTTTAATATATTATTTTGAAATTGACCAATTTAACCACATAATGAGTAGCCTACTTTTACTTTTGGTACTTTAAGTATATTCTGATGATAATACTCTGTACTCTTACTTGAGAAACATTTTGAATGCAGGACTTTTACTGTAACAGAGTATTCATACACTCTTGTATATATACTTTTACTCAAGTACAAGTGAGTACTTCTCCCACCTCTGGTCATGGGTGTATTGTTAATTAATCTACTAAGGAAAATATGCTCTATGAAGTTACTGCTGCTGTCAAATTCATATTTCGTGGGATGAAAACACTGAGGGTGGCACTCTAATGATGCGTCGATACTTTCGTAATACGGAAGTGGGAGTGGTTAAATCTAAACTCAAAGTCCAACCGTTGTTATTATACATCCATGAGTCCTAACCTTTATATATACATTCTATGGTCCTAACCAAAGCAGGAGATTTTTGTAAAATAAAAGTTTCTCATTTTAGTTAAAAAAAAATAAAAAGCTGTTGACTGAGGTAACAGCGCCCTCTGCTGGCTCGAGGAAAATGGCATAGACTTAGAATAATTGCCAATTTTCAAAAATGTCAGTGTTTACTGAGTTGTGTGGGGTTTCTTAAACATTTACAAATATGTAGTGATATATGTGAAGGCCTAGCAAGTCATGCATATATTGCATAACTTTTTCTTCTTTTAAATATTTGTACACAATCATACGTTTTGCGATTCATGCGGAGTAAGTTGCTGATCGCAGGGTGAGGGTGAGCAACCATAAGTTTCACTTTACTTTTCAATTTTAATGCTGACCTTGGTAATGAAGAAAATATTCCACGTTTATAAAGCCTGTATAAAACAACACCATAATGGCGCACGGTCCAAAGTAGGTGCGGTTATTGTAGTCCTCTGTACCGGATATACAAAGACGGTAAAATAGTGTTGGATGCATTTAAATATGAATCAGAAAAGTACAAAAGTTCCTGTAACTTAGCATTTATTTAATTATTAAATCCACCTTAAACACAACATACAAAGAAAGTTCCAGAGTTAGTCAGGAGCAAAGCCAATCTCATATAAAACAGAATTAAAATTGGTCATCATGCTTTAATCAAACTTCTGTCAGGTAATACATACACTGAATTAACAGTACTCCAGTATGTCAACAAGACATGATGAGGGGAATAAATATATGTCCATTACTGTGAGGAACAGAAGACGTAATGGATTTTGTACGTTACGTGAAACTGGGATTTCACAAACATGTGCAGAGGGCGATATTGGTTTCTGTGGGTTTTATACAATGAGGATGTGTGTGTGGATTGCTCGGTGGATTTCTATGTCCTCAAAGCTTTCAGTTTCTGGATCATTGAATCTTTGTTGGCTCCAGAGAACTCGTCCACCTGAAAGACGGCACAGACAGGAGGATTAAAGACTGTTTGATAAATAAACAATGACACTTTCATTTCTTAAAATGTAAATGTTTCTCACTCTGGAGAAAGGCTTAAAAATCTTTTGTACCAGCTACTTAAAATATTTTTTTTTGTTAGCGATTAGTTTATGAAGAAAGTGCATTTGCATTTTTTTGGAAAGGGAACCAAAATTCTGTGGCCTGTAACAAAATGTTTGCTTATGCTAACATTTCAACTTATTTTTAAATAAGTGATAACATGTCAATACTTGCTGTATATTTTCATGCTTACCTTTGATCCATTCTTGTAATATTGGAATGTGGGCATGCAGCCGATCTTGCAAAATGAACTCACTTCCTGAAAATCACAAAAAAAAGGACAGTTAGACAAATTGAGCTAAGGGAACATAAACACTTTGGGAATACAGTGATTCTAGGTATTTCTATCTTATTAGGATAATTGTTTGTTTTTTGGAGACAGGAATATTGTCCACAAAAGAAACAAGCCGTATGAAGTTAACAGCTTCACAGATCAGAAACCCCCTAATATGTAAACACCACCTTTTTGTCAGAATATGTGTCAATAACAATAAGCCACCACAATCATACTGTTTCAAAGGACGCAATTATCAACAATTATCCTTTCATTATGCTCAAGCACTGAGGCAGAAAAGCTTCAGTCACATGAGCCAGCTGTGGTTCCACACGGCCAGGTGAAATGGATTTTAAGAATAGCTCACATTGCTTTGAGTATTAACGACATGGCAACCCCCCCCCAACACAACCAGTCAAAGAACAATTTGGTTAATCCTTCTCTCGCCCACAAGACCAGACCTTTCTTCACATTTCCTGTTACAGATGTGGTTAACATACTAGATATTTTCTACTTCTATAATTCTCCGATGAACCAGGAGCAGTGTTACTAGTTGCCCAGTTTGATGGCTCGTGCTGCGTTGTTGTGGATCACCGAACTAGCAGCAGCTGTAGTAAACTTATACTGAAATCTCAATTGAAAATAAAGAATCTTACATCAGCGTCATCCACGTCCACCTGCAGGAAAACCACGTTTGCGTTCTCCGGAAGAGTTGATTGATTCTGAAAGTGTCAAACAATGAGCGTTAATAAATGATGCAACGTGATTTTGAGAGGATAAATGATTAATTTCTTCTCTTTGAAATCATGGTTATCTTATTGACTTAAGTTCAGCCCCCATGGGTCTTGTAAAGCAGGCATCTCCCTACTTGAGGTTAGAAACAGCTTGAAAAGGGGTTGCCCAGAGCAACAAGAGAAGCTGTCCTAGAGCAACATGTGTCCCTCGGGCAAGGGATTCATCTGAATATTTACCTCGTATTCGTTCGTCCTCAGACTTGGGAAAGTGACCAACACAGCATATGGAACATTTATTTTACTTTGGTTCTCAGATACAAAACATGTCTCTGAAGTGTTTGGCTCCAAACACCAAATAGATCATTGCAGCATCCCATAATCCCCTCTGTTTCAGCCCTGTTTCAAAAGTGCTGATTCTCTAGCTGTGTCCCAATTCAGCGGCCGCATCCTCCTGAGGATGCATTCGGAGACGACATACGTCACTTCCGCCAAACGAAGGCTGTCCCAATTTAAT